CTATAGTAATGCTTACAGGCCCCTACCATTATCAGGGCTGTGTGGCACTGGGCATTGAACAATTATATGTTAAGAGGCAGACCCTTCCCCAAAGCACTTACAATCTAAATAGACAAAACAGATAAAGGGTAGTCGGGGAAACAGAGGGGAAGTGATTAGCCAGAGGTCACACAGCAGATGAGTGGCAGAGTTCAGAGCAGAACCCAGACCTTAACTCTGAGTCCAGTGCCTCATCCACTAGAATACATAGCCTTTAACTCCCCATTCTGGCTTCCCTGGTGTATCCTGTGTGTCAGACTCATAGCTTATAAGTTCTTGGAGACAGAACCTGTTTTTATTTTGTGCCTTGAGCACATTGCCGGAGCTTAACAAATAATAGCAACAGTGCAATTCATTTCCCAAGTGAAACCCAGTCACTTGAAAGATTTAAAATTAGACTGGACAAAGCCCTAGAAAAAAAAATCAAGCTGAGATGGGGAATGCAGAGTTCAAGGGCAAAGTGTGCTTTCTCAGAGTGGGTGAAAATTAACTCTCTACTGAGGGGCCAGTACAAGGCCTGTGCTCCACATATGCCTTAAGCCCTGTTTTGAGGGTGTAAGTGAGATTGTATGAGTGCATAGGCTTTGTGTTAACCCTCTGCACAGGGGAGAATTTCACCCAATATGAGGAGCTTAAATCTTGAAGCAGTAAAGATTCATGCTCAACATACTATTACAGGGGGCCTGCTGCAATGTCCAATGAATGGTTTTATGACAAAGAAGCCATTTGTTCTATGTTGTCCTAAAGTCAAAAAGTGGTCCAAAGTTTAGACGGTGAAGAAAAAAATAGGGGAGGGGTGCTGGAGGGTTCTAAAGCTTGATACAGATGATTCCTGTTCTTATGTAGTTGTATTCACCTGTTTTCTCTCATCTTACAATCTATTAATAACATAGTAAGCGTGGAACCACCTTGCCCAAAGGGACCCCAGTCCCTGATTTGAGGTCGTTTAGATGCTACTGTCATCCAAATAATGAACAATAATAATATTATAGAAATGTTTTCATATCTACAATAAAATTAAATCATTTTTATGCAGGCGTGGGGAAAGGGAATGAAACGTTCTCTGGCATATTTGGAAATCCAAATACAATGGCTCAAATTCAGCCCTGGTATAATGGCTGCATTGATGGCAGAGTTACAGCAGGGATGGATTTGGCCCCGTAGCACTCTGCTAGGGTAAAAGCCTCAGAAAGTGACAGTGACTAAAAATGAAAAGGGAGGGAGTTTCATTGGCTAGGACAAGTGCTCTGCAGAATGTACACAGCATCCATAGGGGAAAGTATACTATGTTTTAACCCAAGTAAAGAAGAGGGGGTTGTGTGGCATCATTCACTGAGCTCCACAAATGGGAAGGAGCCTGTGCTCTAGAAAGTCCTCCAGAACATCTAGAGATGTCACGTTTCTTGTACGTTCTTCATGCAGTCCTTGGTTTCCTGGCACATGCTTGCTGCTGGTGCAGAAACAAAGAAGCTCCAGATGGGGCAGTCCCAGTCTACAGCTACACAGAACAGTAGGGAGTTTTATTACCTTATTCTGCACATGGTTTCCATTCCTAATAAAGGGTTTATCTTGACACTGGTTCACTCGTCAGTAAGACACTACGTGGTTCCAGGAGTGGAAAACACAGCGTAGATCTGTGAAAGATAACATTGCAATGGCTACTGTAGAGCCCATGCAATTGCAAGCAACTCCCCCACCAGACCTGAGACTCCCTGGAAATGTTGAATGTGCCTGGAAATGGCTCAGACAAGCGATTTGAGCAATCTGTGAAACTCACTGGGGCAAATAAACTGAGGATGAGCAAAAGACTGCACTGCTCTTAACAGTGATAGGCACAGAAGCCCCTCTGGAGCAACAGCAGGGGTGAGGTGCACAAAAAAAAAGGAAGCAATATTAGAAACACTGAGTCTTAAGGTGGCTCTGAGTAATCAGACTGTCACTTTGATAAAGGTTCATGGAAACTGTGTGAGCACAAAAGAAACTGTTACACTTTATGTAAAAATTGATATGGCCAGTGGTGAGCTGGAGCCGGTTCGCGCGAACCGGTGGTTAAATTCTGAAGCCGTTTTAGAACCGGTTGTTAACCCGCTTCCCTGCAGGGGGTGCTGAGGCTTTGATGGGCTCCGGCCGGGAAGGGATGTAATTCCTCCTCCGGCCGCCGGGGGCGCTGTGCTGCGGGAGCCATGTGAGCTGCCGCCTGGCCCTGGGCACGAGCCCTGGTGCTGCTGCTGCTGCTCCCCTGGCCCTGGGGCTCCTGATGCTGCCTGGTGGGTCCCCGGCTGCTCTGCTGGGCCTGGGCTGCATCCTGCTGCTCTCCCCTTGAGTACCCACCACCCTGCCTGCAGCCAGCCCCCCCCCCACCCCCTACCCTGCAGCCAGCCCCTGTCTCCAGCCACCCCCGCACCCCCTGCCTGCAGCCAGCCCCTGTCTCCAGCCACCCCCGCACCCCCTGCCTGCAGCCAGCCCCTGTCTCCAGCCACCCCCGCACCCCCTGCCTGCAGCCAGCCCCTGTCTCCAGCCACCCCCGCACCCCCTGCCTGCAGCCAGCCCGTCTCCAGCCACCCCTGCACCCCCTGCCCTGCCTGCACTAGCCCCTGTCTCCAGCCAGCCCCGCACCCTCTGCCCTGCACCCCCTGCCTCCAGCTAGCCCTGCCCCACGCCCCTGTCTGCAGCTGGCCCCACATTCACTGATGCCCTGCAGTTCCCAGGGCAGTAACCCTGCACACCTGCTTCAATGAGGGGGGCAGGGAGCAGCTGGGACCCATGCATGTGCACACTCTAGGGTGACCAGACAGCAAGTGTGAAAAATCAGGACAGGGGGTGGGGGTTAGTAGGCACCTATATAAGAAAAAGACCCCAAAATCGGAACTGTCCCTATAAAATCGGGACATCTTGTCACCCTAGCACACCCCAGGGAGTGGCGGGGACCCACACATGTGAAACGGAGCTCATTTCTAGTTCAGGCCCATCTTTTTAAAAAAGAACTTTGGGCAGGGTTAACATACACCCGTATTTTCCCAGACAGGTCAGGCTTTTTGGTTCTTAAATCACCGTCTGGAAGGAATTTTTAAAATTTAAAAATTCCTCCTGGGAAAATACGGACATATGGTCACCCTGTTTTGGTACAAAAAATACATACTGGGGCACATCCCTTAAATCAGAACTTTTTATAGGGAACCAGTTGTTAAGATTTTGGCAGCTCATCTCTGGATATGGCTAATATAATGTTATAGAAGTTAAACTCTGAAAGGAATGTGCATTTTTCCCAGGACATTGTGCAAAGAAATGCAAACAAAACATGCTGCTTAACTAAAATCCTATTAGGGCTCTAAAAGGAGCCACAATAGGCTGTGTTGTCTTTTTCAGATCACTGTGTGTTTTGGAAGCAGAAGTTGAAAGTGAAAAGAAATCAAAACTCAGGTGGAAGTTGATTGTGTCTCCTTTTAAGAGAGGGTCTCTGACCTGCTGATGGCTTTGGATTCAAAAGCAAGCCGGAAAGCGTCTGTAAAAATGCAAATTACCTTACTGATAGAGGAAGGTGGAAAAAGAAGTCAAACCTAAAAATAAGAGAGGGACAGGTTAACCCTAAGTAGGAAAAATATTCTTTTTGTGTGTGTATGCAGTGCTAAAATCTGAAGTTTTTAATAGATTTGATGTTAATATTAAACATTGGGATAAATTTAATGTTAAGAAGTGCCCCTGTAACAATGGATAGTGTGTATGATTTTTGAAAAAAACCTTTAAGGTCATATGGTAATGATGCTTCTCAGCTATTACCTGTGAATACACTTAAAACTTAGCACAGCAGAAAGAACATTACAAACTTGGTCTGCTGTATAAGAAGAAAAACTGAGGTACACCACCTCATGAATTTAATAACTGAACAGTGGAATAATTTCCCCTAAACCCTTAAAAGGTAGGAGCCATTGAAACCTAGCCTGCCTATAGAACAAAAACACAGGAAAGTATAGGGGTAATTCCTCTGTTTTGCCTGCAATACGGTCTTGGGATGCATCAGGCGAGGTATTTCCAGTAGAGATAAGGAGGTGTTAGTACCATTATATAAGGCACTGGTGAGACCTCATCTGGAATATTGTGTGCAGTTCTGGTCTCCCATATTTAAGAAGGATGAATTCTAACTGGAACAGGTACAGAGAAGGGCTACTAGGATGGTCCGAGGAATGGAAAACCTGTCTTATGAAAGGAGACTCAAAAAGCTTGGCTTGTTTAGCCTAACCAAAAGAAGGCTGAGGGGAGATATGATTGCTCGCTATAAATATATCAGAGGGATAAATACCAGGGAGGGAGAGGAATTATTTAAGCTCAGTACCAATGTGGACGCAAGAACAAATGGATATAAACTGGCCATTTGGAAGTTTAGACTTGAAATTAGATGAAGGTTTCTAGCCATCAGAGGAGTGAAGTTCTGGAACAGCCTTCCAAGGGGAGCAGTGGAGGCAAAAGACATATCTGGCTTCAAGACTAAGCTTGATAAGTTTATGGAGGGGATGGTATGATGGGATAGCCTAATTTTGGCAATTAATTGATCTTTGACTATTAGCGGTAAATATGCCCAATGGCCTGTGATGGGATGTTAGATGGGGTCGGGAAGGAATTTTCCTCCAGGGCAGATTGGCAGAAGCCCTGGGGGTTTTTCGCCTTTCTCTGCAGCGTGGGGCACAGGTCACTTGCTGGAAGATTCTCTGCACCTTGAAGTCTTTCAACCACGACTTGGGAACTTCAATAACTCAGACATAGGTTAGGTGTTTGTTACAGAAGTGCGCAGGTGTGATTCTGTGGTCTGCGTTGTGCAAGAGGTCAGACTAGACGATCATCATGGTCCCTTCTGACCTTAAAGTCTATGATTCAATCAGCAAGGATATTTGTGAAAGGAATGGATATTTTAGGCAATAATCTGCCACCCCAAAAGGGGTTAGAAACATGTTCTTTTTGTCTTTCAGAGAATCAGCAAAAGCTGGTACCAACTAAAGAGCAACCCAGAATACCATGGATCTACTGTCGCAGCAAAGATTGTGTTTTGTGTTTTATGTTTTGTCTTGTGTTGTTTGTCTTGTTGCTAGCATTGTTGTGTATTGTGTTACAAAAACGGAAATACTACATTATGCAGAAAAGGATTAACAAGCATTTTAATTGTATTTACAGAAACGCCAGTCTGATAACAGGGAAACATCCCTAGGCGGTAAAGGCACATTTAAAAGCAAAATATGCATGAGACACAAGGTGTATCTGTTGGTGGGAATAAAAGGATGGACATAAAAAGTTTTAAAGCACAAAGTGAAATTACCAAGGGAAAAAAGGGTATGTAAAACCACGGGTTACTAAAAGAATAAGACTTGCCAATTATTACTTCCTAGTTAACTTCCAGCATGGAAGCCCAGCTGAATGCACCTGGGTGTTGTATGGCATTGGATATAAGGAAAGAAAGGCCCAGTGACGATATAGCTGCCCTAATACTATCTCAGTGTGAACTACTGAAGGCTATTGGATTTTGCCTGGCAGCCAGGAGGGTGGGTAGCCTAAAGAAAAGGCTCCCAAGAAATGTATTGAACTGGTCTGGATGGGAACTGGATTAGAAATTGAAGTGCTGGATGCTACTAACATAGAGGTATTGGCAGACAAATGAAATTATGTTATAAATGATTCTGTCATATTATAGCAATTAGGGGATGTGATTTCGAATTGCATGTACCCGAATTTAAATATAGTCAGTTAAAGGTGTCTTATACTTTGTATTCTATTGTAACACCTGTGCCCCTTGGAATGGATTCAAGTGCTTTACAAACATTGCTTGTACACCCTGATTTACAGAACCAGTTACATAACTGCAAAACATGCTGATACATGCATCTTAGAAGAACAGGATGTGCCTCAGGAATGTTTATTGGGGCCTCAAGGCTGCAAACTCTGGAAAAACCCACACCTGGTTAATCGATAATCAGAAGGAACCTCTCGCTTGACCATTGAAACTGCTTACTTAACAAGTTTGCTTTAAGGGACATGTCATTCTTTTACTAACGTATAAATAAGGGGGACAAATTTGAGGTAGGGAGACTCTTCAGGACTGGACTCTCCCTCTGGATGCATCTTGTGTTCCCCACTAGCAGATGGGCTGCCGCCGTGCCACTCAAGAGCCACACTCAGCTTTGGTAATTATCAAGGGTTGGGGATGTTTTACTAACCTGTTGCAGACATGTGTATAAGTGCTTGAGACTAAGTAAAGTTTAGCTTTAAGTGAAAGCACTCTTGTATTGTCCTGTTTGTGCCAGCCATCTATTGGCTGGACGGCCGTGTCTCCCCTGATGTATTTCCTGACACCACCTTGCACAGAGGAAAAGTTACCAAGAGCTTTGGGTTGAAAGAACTTCGGGTAACAAGTTCACAAAAACATCTCCTCCACAAAGTCACCGAATGGACATGGATGCCAAACCATGAAAGAAAGTTCAATGATTTAAAGCACATTCTGACATCACCTCAAGTGCTGCACTTTTTTTAACCCATTGAAAGTCATCAAACTCTCCACAAACGCCTCGAAAGGATGGCTCAGAGCTGTACTATTACAGTGTCATGGAACTGATTGGCTGCCAGTCTTGCATGCATCCGGGGCTATGACAGCTGCAGAGACGATGTACACACAAATTGAAAAAGAGACAAGGGGTCTGGCTTGCGGATGTACAAGATTTCACAATTTTCTCTCTGGACATAGCTTCAAAGCAGAAACTGATCACAAACCACTGACTGAAATACACAAAATGGGAGGTGGAGTGACACAGTGACCACTACTGATAATGCAGACGTAAGATGTGACCCTGGAGTTCCAATGTGGATGCCCCTTAGTAATGGTAGACAATCTCAAGAGCATATCCTCCATCAGATAATACGCAGCCTGATGATCTGGAACAAGCAGTAAACATACATGTGAACATAATAAAAGTGCCATGTGTGGTATTTCTATGCATATGGGATGAAGTGGAGACAGAAACAGCTTAAGACGAAATGCTGCAAGCTGTGGTACAAGTGCTAAGTAAAGGAGGGGAAAATAGCGTTTCCCACCTGCCTATTCCCACTATTAAAATAGCTTTCATTGATCTCAGGAGTGCTCTTGAAGGGGACACAGATTGTGGTTCCCACGGTGACTGAAAGGGAAATAATGGAATGCATACACAAAAGGTTCCTAGGAATGACCAAATAAAATAGGAGAGTTTGAGAAGTTGTGATTTGACCAAAGATAAATAATGACATCAAAGAAATGTCTATGAGCAGGTGTGGAATGTATCAGAAGTAGAAAGATTCCCAGCAGAAAGAACCTATGCTATGGCCCGAACAACTTGCCACTCCATGGGACAAAGCTGGAACTAGCATGCTCAACCTCAGAAGACATGACCACCTGGTTATAATGGGCCTACTTTACCAGTTTCCCAGAAGTAGTTACCCTTCAAGATACCACAGGAGCAACAGTTGTCAGGCACATTAAATCCATATGTGCACATCATGGAATTCCAAGGACAGTAATAATTGGCAAGGGACCGCAGTTCAAGAATAGGGAGTTCCCGGACTTTGCTAAAATGTCTGACTTTCTTCATGAGACATTGAGTCCTAGGTATCCTCTAGGTAATGGATTAGCTGAATGTGGAGTATGTATAGAGAAGAACTTACTCAAAAAAGCAGTGGATGCAAGAGATGTTCTGTATTTAGCACTATTCAACTGTGGAAAGTCATCTGGTGAACTCCTGTACAACACACATATAAATACTCAATTACCAGGTATGGGACAAAAACATAGGATGACAAAGGAGTCTGTGATAGTGAGGAAAACAATGGGAACGCGAAGTCATACAAAATATTATAATAAAGAACTAAGACCTCTGTCACTGTGGCTCAGTGGGTCACAGCTGAGAATACCAGATTCAGGACAAACTGCTGAGAAATAGGGCAGACTCACCCCAAAGTGGTGGTTATTCTATCACTAAATATACCAGCCAGTAACTAAAGTAAACTTCTGTCTCACCACATTGGTTAACAAGAAGTCAAAAATGGCATTCCAGCCCTTATTTCGCCACCCGGACACTAGATTTTATGATGAATGGTTGTGGAAAACCACTTTAATCAAACAAAGGGTTCTTCTGATCTCAAGAGATCAGCCACATAGTCAGGTCAATATGTAACTCAGATCTTACCCAATAATCACACTGCTGCTGATCCTTTAGTAACTAAAATATAAAGGTTTATTTATAAGAGAAAAGAAGAGAGTTAGAAATGGTTAATAGATCATATACACACAGTAATGGCAATGTTCTCGTATCAGGTTTGTAGCAGTGATGTTCTAGGCTGCTGGCTTGTAAAGTCTCTCTGGTAATTTCCAAAACATTGGAAAGACCGCGGTCCATAGTTCAGAATTCTCCTTTTAGTTGTAAATCCATAATCCAGAGAACGAGAGCAGGAAAGAGGCAACATGGAGATGTTTCAGGGGTCTTTTATATCCTCTGCCATGTGCTTGGAATTTTACTGTCCCAAACAAAGCCTACAGCCCCTGTCTGTTGAAACTTACTGGCACAAGATGGAGTCTAGGGTCACATGAGCATATCACATGTCCCTTACATGGCTTGCTGACTCACAGAGGATAGCCATTGGACATATCTGTGCTCAGGCATCCACAGGAAGACTTGCTGAGTAGGATGAGTTTCTCCTGTGGCCCATTGTGAGAGTTAAGTGTCCTTAATGGGCAATGAAGCTTGAAAAGTCCATTCACTATGTGTTAGCTAGGCTGGATGTAAACTACCTTGTGGGCGTTAACCCAGGAACAAACACAATGGTGATACAGGTATATAGCCAATATTCGTAACTTCAGATACAAAAAATGATACATGCATATAAACAGGATAATCATACTTAGCAAATCATAACTTTCCCATTGACACCTTACATGACATACTTTGTACAAGATCTGTTGCAATTGTCGAACAGTGGCAATATCATTTATATAAATAGTCATATTTCAATCATACAGCATCACAACCGCTTCCACAGTTAAAAAACAAAGACTTAGTGAGAATGTGGCAAGATGGATGCTGGCCAGCCAAAGCTACAGTGATCAAAGAGGAGTCACCTTGCACATACCTTTTTGCTTTGTTTTCTCCATCCAGTCCCTCTTGTATTGGATAATTATACTGGCTGTAGTTTAATCAGCTAGTTAGGCCAGTTCTTGAGTAAATCAATTTATTTAGTCATTCTTAAGTGCTTTCTGTTGGGATTTGCTCTTGGAGGTTTCTGCATATTCCATTGTGTGGTGCTGGGAGAGTTCTTGGGTGCCCAGGACTGTGAATTCCCTTGTCACCCCTTGCCTCTAGTGAGAGGTAGCCTTGCCAGTGGTTGCTGGGTGTTAGCTCCCGACCACTATCAGCCTGTCAGCCACTTAAGCATTCTCCTCCAGGCCAAGCCAGTCCTACCTTTGCCTTATGGGTTAGCAACAGGTGCATCCCAATCCCTTTGAAATGTTCCCCTGTGATATCCAGCCCCTGACACTGGCTACTCACAGATCTGCTGCCCACAAAGGAGCAGTGTGCCCCAGCTTACTAGTTTTACATTAAACCACTGCTCCTGTATGACACGTAGCACATATGAGCCCTTATAATAAAACAAAAGTAGGTTTATTTAAGAAAGAATAGAGATCAACTAGTAACAAGAGAGAGTGATGGACACAAATGATTACAATTTAAAACAAAATCACAAAAAGCGAACGAAGGCCTACACATATTAATAGTTACTTTTCCTAGCTAATAAAGTAGATTCCTCCCCCAAAAGTTCAGTCTACTGCAGAGCTGGCTGGCTTCCAAGGAACCAGGATGCACGCTTTCATGAAAACACCCCCGCTCCACAAGATGTTTCCTCACTGAATGGATCCACTATGCCTCTCCCCATTCTGTGTTATACTGAAATAGTTTTTTGTCTCTATTCATAGACAGAGAGATCCTCTGCCTATTGTAAAAAGAAAAGGAGTACTTGTGGCACCTTAGAGACTAACCAATTTATTTGAGCATAAGCTTTCGTGAGCTACAGCTCACTTCATTTGAGCTGTAGCTCACGAAAGCTTATGCTCAAATAAATTGGTTAGTCTCTAAGGTGCCACAAGTTCTCCTTTTCTTTTTGCGAATACAGACTAACACGGCTGTTACTCTGAAATCTGTCTATTGTAATGTTCTTTTTTTTTAAACCTCCAAGTGGTTTTGATTGTTGCAGTTGTTTCTGATGGTTTTCCATTGATAGTCTTGGGATGGAGCAAGCCTAGATAATTGAGCTTTTCATTACATCACTGGCTTACCAGGGAACAGTGACAACTTCCTTCTGCGTGAATGGGCCATCCCAAGACATATTATCCCTGGTAACTTTTACTCCACGATCATAAGGCATACTTTCAGTATAGTTATATTGTTCCTTAAATATTACCTGTACATACATTTTGCAATACTTACGAGCCTTGATAAGTTAAAAACTTTCTGTAGGCACCTTGCATGTTACCTTTTATGGATTAATACCCTGCAAGATATGTGTTTGGTGTAATGAGTTTGTCAAGTCTAAGACAAGAGTTGTTTGTAAAGAACAGGAGAACTTTTGTAGAGGGATCTCTGTGTCACAGCTGCTACAGGTATTTGTAGCAAGTTTAATTGGTATTTATTAATGTGTTCATTAACTGAGTGGTGTATAAGGAAGAACACCTAAGAGTTAGGAGGTGTGGGTACTTTTTGAAGAAAAAGTGACAGGAGGCACTGTGCAACAGCTGATAGATATTTTTGCTGCAAGGCAGAACGATACAGCTTTCCTTCCAATAAATAAAATAAAAATAACTTTGCTTTTAACCTTCTTATGACTTTGAAGGACAAATTTTATTTAAATATATAAGGGCTTTTCCACTGTATTTTCTCAAATGAAAAGAGCTAGCATTTCCCTTACCTGCATTAGCCCAACACTATATAAATCCTGCTACCACTACCATAGACAGAGATTTAGATGAGTAATGAAGTGCCTGAACTAGAAGTTATAGGCAAACGTTGTCACAGCTGTAACACCAGGATTTGCCTGGTCTTCTTTCAAAAGCCTGAAGAATAAGAGGAGTGAGAGGAAAGGAACACCTGAAACTAGCTATGGAGAATCAGCCGTGCATTCAACGTAATTATTTTGGGCTGACTGTTACATGCATTTCTAAGGTACCCATCACTGTAGCATGCAGAGGCACAACATAAGCTGTCTCAAGTGGTAGCTACATCGCTTAATTTCCGGCAACCTGAGTTCAAATTCCAGATCAGGTTATAATTCGGGTAGAGCTGGCCAGAAACTGGAATTCCCATTGCATGGGAAATTCCAAAATTAAAAAAAAAATGGAACAAAGAAATCAAAGTTTTCCATAAAACGTGAATTTCAAAACTTCACTTTGAAAAAGTCAAAATGTCATTTTGCTTCAGACTTTTCAAAATGTTTCCCAGGCTCCTTGAGCTTCCCAGAGCCCTGGCAGCCCTACAGGTGGAGAACTGGGCAAATTGGGGAACCCCTGATAGTTCTAGCCCTGAGGCAGTCCACTTTGGGGGCTGCCTCAGAACCAGGGAACCTGGAAGTCGGGACTCCCCAGCAGCCTGTCAGGTCAGCTGCATCTGCCAAGGAGTGGGGGAGCTGTGACACTGGGAATAATCTTCTAATGGAAAAATTCAAAATTTTGCAGAAAGTGAATTTTATATCAGAAAACCATTCCTGACCTGCTCTAAACTATATTAATTCTGTTAGTTTAATACTAATGACACAGCCAGTTCAGCAAATTCAGTTTAGTCACCATCTAAATCAACAGGGTTGTAATCAGGGTCATTCTCTTCATCGTTAGTATAGCATGATCCCCATTCATGTACATTACTACCTATGTAGCAGTTTATCTTAGCTTTTTCTCAGGTGCCTGTCAACATGGTATCTAAGCATCACACGACTACTAAAGACAACATTGAGCATGACCTTAATGATAGCATTCTTCCTGTCTCCCTTGTTCCCAGTATGCATGTTTGGGAGGGATTTTGTTGTTTGTTTTTCTTACCTCCAATCTCATCAGTTGTGGCTCGGTGCTGACAAGATGCCACGGTGTTATCAAAGAGGAGTGGGTATTGCATTTAGACCTGAACGTGTGCAGTATCAGATTCCATCTGATCTCTTCTGGTAATGTTTCCTATCCTGCCACTGACAGGTTTCAGAGGAACAGCCGTGTTAGTCTGTATTCGCAAAAAGAAAAGGAGTACTTGTGGCACCTTAGAGACTAACCAATTTATTTGAGCATGAGCTTTCGTGAGCTACAGCTCACTTCATCAGATGTTTACCGTGGAAACTGCAGCAGACTTTATATACACACAGAGAATATGAAACAATACCTCCTCCCACCCCACTGTCCTGCTGGTAATAGCTTATCTAAAATGATCAACAGGTGGGCCATTTCCAGCACAAATCCAGGTTTTCTCACCCTCCACCCCCCCACACAAATTCACTCTCCTGCTGGTGCTAGCCCATCCAAAGTGACAACTCTTTACATAATCAAGTCGGGCTATTTCCTGCCACTGAAGATGCTGTACCCTCTGCACCTGAAAATCTTATTCTTAGCCCTGACACTCTCTGGTTTGGATTGGACTAGCTGGGATACAGAGCTATATGAGTGCAACTTGCACGGGGCCTGCCTACACCATGCTCAGTTTTCCCCATTACTTGTATTACTCCAACTCAGAAGGACTAAATATGTTCAGGGAAGAAAGAGAATCTGAAGATAGCAGTACAAGGCAACATTCTTTTTCTGCTTAAAGACACGGCTGAGGGACATTAAAAGCAAAAGACTTAGAATCAAAACTCCAGCCTCTTTTCCTGGTTTTGGCCACAAACTCACTCCTGTGTGATGTTGGGTAAGTCTGTTGATCTGTGGAGCTAGATTTTCAAATAGCACAGCACCCATCGCACACCCAAAATTTTGAGACCTTTTAAAAATCAGGCCTGTTGTTCTGGTTCTTAAACGGGAGCTAAGCTCTTTTGAAAATCTGGTCCTGACTAAAGGTGCTGAGCCCATCTGAAAATTCTGGCTTTGGTGCCTCAGTTTACCCACTAAAAGAAGAGGTATTTGTCATGTGATAGTAAATAATCACAGGAGTTGGTTTCTTCTAACACTGAACAGGGAACAGAACAAAATATAGTCTTATTCATAAAGCTACTGTCTCGCTCCCTCTGCTTCATTATAGAGCATTTGCCTAGAACCATCTGCCAGCTACCTCTTGTCTGGCTTCCTGTAATAGCTATAAAGAAACAGTACATATATCACAACGTTTTTGTTTCATAATTCTTTTGAGCTGATAAAAATGGGAATTTTTATCCCGGGAAATTCCAATCTTACGTTGTTTTTGTCCAGAATAAGGATAAAAAGTTGAAATATCATGTAATGAAAATGTCAAAATATTTTTTTGGAAAAGTCCTTTTGGGTCAGCATTAATCTTTGCCCCTGAGCCAGTACAGGGCCCCATGGGAGCTGTAGTACAACGTTCTTCATGCCTCTATTCTCCTATATGGGCCATTCTGTCCAGCTGGACTACATCTCCCATGATGCACCACAGTGAGTGTGTATGTGTATGTCTTTCTCATCCCATGGTTGAGCTGTTATAGTGTATTGTGGGAGAGGGAGAGACTACATTACATAATGAGAAATATTGTCTAGCTATGGAGAAAGGACCATAGTGCAGAACTGGGGCATGAGAGACCTGCAAATACAACTACCCCTGTGAAGATCCAGGTGGACACAGAAATTTAAAATGATCCAAAATTAAATGTTGTGATGGAATTTTCTGTCAGGAAAATCAAACAAAGATTGATCTTTTCCCACAGAAAATTTTGATTTAGAAGAATCCCCATTTTCCACTAGGAGAATATTTCATTCAAAATGTTCAGCCAACCCTATTCTCTATATACTTATCTACCACACAGAGATATTGTGAGGCTATATCTGGTTTTAATGCTTGCAAAGTGCTTTGAGATCCCTAAAAAAAGATCATTATATAAAAGTGAAATACTTTTCTTATACTGTATTACACATTACGCAAAAATAAAGCCATGAACTGAAATGAGTAACATTACCCTCTACTGGATAGGATCAGAACTGCTCAGCTATGTGTTGAAATGCTATAACCCTGGCTGCCAGGATCTCCTGCTAGGATTTACGTTCAGGAAGCCATCACGATTCTCAGCACTATCCATTTGCAGCAGTAAGTCAGCGAAGGATTGTGTTACGCATTTTCAGCTTCTTCCATCCCAGCTGCTCCCCTCCCACTGAGGGTTGCATACCAGCAGAACATGAAGGGCCACTTTGTACTTTGGCTGTCTTTTTACTTTCAGTGCACAATGTTCTCTCCTTTTTTTTGCAGTGTCCATCCCATATAGCTAGTGCAGTGACGTGCATGCTATTTATCTGGTATGCGCTCTTATGTGTTGGCCTAATGCTAATTAAAAAGCAAACAAACCACAACTGCACAGCACTTAGCTAAAGAAAGGATGCATATATGGACACAGAAACGGATGCATACAATTAGGAGCATTGATTTGAGCAATAGAAAAAGCCATTTCCCTCACAAAATGTGAACCAAATCTAAGTAAGTTTGATTAACTTTCTTCCTATTATTTTTATGTCAGTCCCCTCTGGGTTTTGGCTATCAGCAGGGACGCTGATACAGCTGAGCCAGTAAGTCACAACAAATCATTTATCTGGAACTGAGCCTCTTTTCCTGCTTGTGTTTATATCCAGGGCCAGATTTTGATTTTTCCCAGATTTATTATTTGTTCAAAATTATCTGACTGATTTTTTTGGCTAATTATTTTAATTATGGATTGACTGCTGACAGTTCTGCGCAGATACTCTTTGTTCAAGATGTGTTAGCTGTATCTGGCTAGATATATCACTTGCTATCATTAGAGCCCTGCAAATCCGCGGGTATCCGCTTTAT